CTACAAGTTTGTTTTGCGATTCGGCCCGAATCAGTTTTCTAAAGTGTTTTTGAAAAATCACATACCCTGCCTTTAAGACAATACTCTGATTAAGAATCTACCATGTAAACAGAGATTTTTGATTACCTTTGGCTGGCTAAATTCATAATCGAAGTAAACAGAAATCGAATTAAGACATGTGGAGTATTCCCATTTTAGTCGCATTACTGAAGTGCATAATAGACATGTAAACACCTTAATCACATTATTACCGTCGTGTAGGACTTTTCGCCGCATTTTGCGACAGGATACACACACACGGCAGTGCTCAACCATTTGACGGCAAATAAAAGAGCTTCAACACCTCCGTCGTCTGTATGCACGTACAAATAATTAACTGCACTTGAAGTTTTCATAAAATTTTAAATGAAACACCCAAAACTGTACATGGCATCATAACGAAGACGAACTATATATGTTTATGCGTGAAATTCCGGAGGGGACGTCGGATGGCGTCGTGTGGGGACATAATAACGTGTGCCATTAATCGATCTATGTACTACAACATGTAAAACGGGAACATGAAAGGAATATTCTAAAAGCAACTCATGTAAACACCATAATCATAATATTGGCTTATTTAGAATAAGGTAAATAATTTGATTACTGATGTCCATGTAAACGTAGTCAATGCTGCCAGAAATTGTGTCCCCAACTAAGCAAGCCAAAGGCAACAGTTGCAAAGAACCAAAACTCCATCGGTGACAGAAATGGAGAAAAAAAAAACTTGGGAGAAACCAGGCTCAGTCGGGGGGCCAGTTCTCCTCTGGTCAGACGAAACCAGCATGGCGTGGTTTAATTCCAGGCTGCAGCACAGGTCAGATTGAGCAGAGGACTCGTCTAGTTCTTGTGCTCTTGTGTCGATGAGGTCTTCACAGCGGATCTGTCTCTAGGGTTCGTCTAGATGACATGGTCTCCGCTGACATTCAGGGCTGTAGAGGTTATCTCTAGGTGCTGATCCATCATCTGAATTGTTCATTCAACCGTTTTGTTCAAAAACTCTGATCAGGAAAAGTAATTAGAATACAGTAACGCATTACTATGTAACACAGGGGTGTCCAAACTTGGTCCTGGAGGGCCGGTGTCCTGCAGAGTTCAGCTCTAACCCTAATTAAACACACCTGAACCAGCTAATCAAGCTCTTACTAGGAAACTTCCAGTCAGGTGTGTTGAAGCAAGTTGGAGCTAAACTCTGCAGGA